GATAGTCTTATCATACGCTTTGTATATATTGTTTAAAATATTCAACGTATGTTTTGCTTGGAAATATTTTCTCTTAGAGAAAGATACTATGCAAAATTTATAAATATATTATAAGTTTCATTTCATTCTCTTGTTGCGTGTAGTACAATAACGAAGAGACATGATACACATCGATCTCGTATGCTACGATCTTCCATCATCAATGATTCAAAAACGAAAGACGTCAATTGATGTCTCGCGTCCACAATGCGTTAAATAATTCAGAGCAATGAGCAAAAGTAATGTTGAATTTGTGAGATCTCAGCGTGTCATGTGATAGTTTAAAAAAATAGTACGGCATTACAGGACCATTCAAACTCGTAGAAAATATATCTTCGAGTCAGTTCAATAGATACGTGATTTTTCTTGGCTCGGTTAACGATAACGAAACGGAACTCTCGGTTGATTCGAGTGTCAGATTCGATTCTTGTTCATCCGCCATTAATTAAAGGTCATCCGCGTAAAAGAAAGAAAAATCATTGCGGAGAGATTAATTCGCGCGTAGAGTGGACGTGCCATTAATCGAAATAGCAACGATTCGTATAATTCTCGTACTTCGTTAAAAAATGGAACGGACAATTATCGTGCACAAACGGAAAGAAGAACGGAATATGGGTCTGATTGGCTATTTCTGATAGATTCAGAATAATCGTAAAAAATGAATACATGTATTAAGCGAAAGTCTCGCATGTATAAATAAAATTGAAATAGATTGCTCTCTTTTGCGTTATCTCTATCTGGTCTTTTTTTTTTCTAACTTTGTTGCACTATTTCAAAAATAATTATACATCATAAAATAGTTGTACTGTGTTTATTAAAGAATTATGTACTAATTACTTAATATGCTCAATGAATATTAATTATAGAATCTGAGAAAATGTTTCATTAGAAAATAAGAGTATGCGCTAATTATTGTATACCTTGAAAGAAAGTTTTTACTATTATAACATATTTTTATTTAGCGCTATAAGAAATAACCTTTCGGATCCGTATTCCTTTCGGATTTTTTTTTTAAGCAACAAA